ATCCTCACACCTCAGCCTCCCAAGGAGCTGAGACCACAGGCCTGCACCACCACATCTGGCTAAGTTTTAAATTTTTTTGTAGAGACGAGGTTTCGCTATGTTACCCAGGCTGGTCTCAAACTCCTCAGCTCAAGCGATCTTCCTGCCTTGACCTCCCTAAATGCTGGATTACAGGCGTGAGCCACTGCTCCTGGCCTGGAACTTTTTTGTGAAAGGGGAGCTCAGATGCAAAGAAGCAGAGACTCAGGAGAGAGAGAGGGCCAGAAGTAGGATGAAGAGAGGCCATTCATCAACCCACTCGTTCATTCAGTCAGCAGCGTGGACGGCACATGCTCCGTGCCAGGCGGTGGGAATAAGGTGGTGAACAAGGCCCACTGATGTCCCTGTCTTCGTGGGCTTCACTGACCGAGATAATCAGAAAGAGAGGCCCGGCGCAGTGGCTCACACCTATAATCCCAGCACTTTGGGAGGCTGAGGTGGGCAGATCACTTGAGGTCAGGAGTTTGAGACCAGCCTGACCCACATGGTGAAACCTCATCTCTACTAAAAATACAAAAATTAGCCGAGCGTGGTGGTGGGCACCTATAATCTCAGCTACTCAGGAATCTGAGGCAGGGAAATTGTTTGAACCCGGGAGGCGGAGGTTGCAGTGAGCCAAGATGGTGCCACTGCACTCCAGCCTGGGTGACAGAGCGAGACTCCGTCTTAAAAAAAAAAAAAAAAAGGAGAGAGAGAGAGACACAGATGCAGGGACATGGGAGGAAAAACAGTGAACGCCCAAGATGGAAAGAGGGTGATGGAGGTCGGGAATAAGAGCCTGCAAGAGAGACTTGGAGAATGAGAGGCGCGGGTGAGCAGACAGACAGTGAGAGGCAGAGCAGCGGGGAGTGGCAGCAGGGCCTGGGAGTGTCCGTGGAGGGCTGCAAGGTGGGGGACTGCCTGTCTGCCACCCGCTCAGCTGTCGCCACCGGCAGCAGGTACTGGGTGCGCCTGGGGGAACACAGCCTCAGCCAGCTCGACTGGACCGAGCAGATCCGGCACAGCGGCTTCTCCGTGACCTACCCTGGCTACCTGGGAGCCTCGACGAGCCATGAGCACGACCTCCGGCTTCTGCGGCTGCGCCTGCCCGTCCGCATAACCAGCAGCGTTCGACCCCTGCCCCTGCCCAATGACTGTGCAACTGCTGGAACCGAGTGCCACGTCTCAGGCTGGGGCATCACCAACCACCCATGGAGTAAGGGGCCTGGGGCCTGGGGCCAGGGGTCAGGGGTCAGGATGGGTACAAGTCTGGGATGCAGGGCAAGAGGTCACATCATGACACCTTAGAGGAAGGATAGGTAAAGGGTCAGGGTGTGGGATGGGACATCAGGATCATGGTTTGGGGTCAGAGATTATGGTGGATTGGGGTCTTGGGAGTCAAAGGGGTTAAAGGACTGGGTATGAAGTCAGGGATCAGAGGTCAGAGATATGCTGAGAGGTCAGAGTGTGTCAGGGGTCATCACACTGGAGCAAAAGGCATATTTTATTTATATATATATATATATATGTAAATAGGATATGGGCCTTGTGGGTCATGGGTCTGGGGTTAGAGGTCACTGTAGAATTAAGGTCATGGGATCCAGAGGTTGTAATTGGGATTCTATCCGAAATCACATATCTGAGATTGGAGGTCATAGCGTTTGGGGTGTGAGGTCCGAGGTTTGAGGTCGTGGAGGCTGGGGCCAAATAAACTAGGATCAGAGGTCACTGGCGTTGGAAGCAGTGAGGTTTGGAAGATGGGGAGCTGAGGTTGGAGGTTAAGGTAAAGACAGGGACATGGGGTCAGGAGACGAGATATGAGATCAAGCTGGGATCATAAGGTAATAAGATAGAAGGTCAAAGATCACAGTAGTAGGCACTGAAGAGGGTCAGGTCTGGATTCGTCGTCTCTGAGGCTGGAGAGACGAGAAAGGTCTTGAGTTATGCCACTCAAAGTCAAATGTCAAAGACCAAAGAGACTGTCAATCATCTGGGGTCATGAGTCATATGAAATTAAGTCATAAATATGTAACTTGGAGGTTTCAGGATTGTAGCACAGGTTGGTGAGGGGCTGGGATATTGACTCAGATGGGCCACATCGAGGGAAGAGGGATGTGACCTCAAACTGGGGAGATTTAGGGGACCCTGCAGCACGCATATTCCCTCTCCAGACCCATTCCCGGATCTGCTCCAGTGCCTCAACCTCTCCATCGTCTCCCACGCCACCTGCCGTGAGGTGTATCCCGGGAGAATCACGAGCAACATGGTGTGTGCAGGCGGCGTCCCGGGGCAGGATGCCTGCCAGGTGAGCATGCGCGGTCACCAGGACAGAAAGGGAAGGGGAGGGGCTGGAAGCAGGAGAGGAACTGATGGAGGACGAATCAGGGAAAGTGGATGCTGGAGAGAGATGGGGTCAAAAAGGAAGGGAGAGGCTGGGCGCCGTGGCTCACACCTGTAATCTCAGCACTTTGGGAGGCCAAGGTGGGCAGATCACTTGAGGTCAGGAGTTCAAGACAAGCCTGGCCAACATGGTGAAACCCTGAATCTACTAAAAATACCAAAATTAGCTGGGAGTGGTGGTGCAAGCCTGTGGTCCCAGCTACTTGGAAGGCTGAGGCAGGAAAATTGCTTGATCCCGGGAGGCAGAGGTTGCAGTGAACTGAGATCGCGCCACTGCACTCCAGCCTGGGCGACAGAGCCAGACTCTGTCTCTAAACAAAATAATAATAATAATAATAATGATAATAATAATAGTAATAATAATAATAATGGAGGAGAGGCCCAGGATAAGGGAGGGAGAGAGGCAGGGAGTAAGAGGAAGGACCAGGGAATGGAAGAGGGGAAGGGACAGAGAGAGAAGAGGGAGGAAGGGAACAGAGAAGGAAAGATGGAGTAGGGGGCAGAGGGAGAAGCAGCAAAACAGATAGAGAGAACTGGGAGCCCAGACAGGGAATCAGCGGTTTCTGGGGCTCTAAGTCTTTCCCACACCATCCTCCAGGTGGTGCTGTCCCAGACCGAGAGAGATTTGAGGATGGTGGCCTCTCCCCTCATTGGTCAGGGCCCCAGCCATTGTCCTTGAGAGAACTCTGTGCTCCTGATGGAGTCCTGCCCACCTTCCCTGGGATTGGTCATTGGTGATGGCACTCTCTCCCCTCATTGGTCAGAACCCCAGTCATTGTCCTTGAGAGAACCTCTACCCTTTATGGAGTCCCGCCCTCCTCCCCTGGGATTGGTCATTGGTAATAGTGTTCTCTCTCCTCATTGGTCAGGGCCCCAGCCATTGTCCTTGAGAGAACCTCTGTCCTTTATGGAGTTCCACCCTTCTTCCCTGGGATTGGCCCCTAGAGACAGTGGCTCTTCTCTTTTGGTTAGCCATTGCCATTGTCCTCTGGGAAAGTGATTATACTCTTTCCTCTTTTGACCAGACTTGGAGCCCTCACCAAGGCCCAGGACTGGGTTGGAGGGTTGGAGAGGAAAACAGAAATAAGATGTCTCCCTTGTTCAGACAGTACTTCTCTTCCTTTCCAGGGTGATTCTGGGGGCCCCCTGGTGTGTGGGGGAGTCCTTCAAGGTCTGGTGTCCTGGGGGTCTGTGGGGCCTTGTGGACAAGATGGCATCCCTGGAGTCTACACCTATGTTTGCAAGTATGTGGACTGGATACGAATGATCATGAGGAACAACTAACCTGTTTCCTCCACCTCCACCCCTTAGCTTGGGTACCACTCTGACCCTCAGAGCACCAATACCTCCTCCATCACTTTTCCTGGCTCCACTCTTGTTGGCCTGGGAACTTTTTGGAACTTTAACTCCTACCAGCCCTTCTAAGACCCATGAGCAGGATGGAGAGAAGTGTGCAATGGTCTGGAATAAATACAAATGAAGGAGGGGCCATGTCTGTCCATTTGAAGTCCCCATGCTGGTTGAGACTGGAAGAAGGACTCAACAGTTTCCCTATCTCATACGAGTAGAAACAGAGCTCAAATAAGGCCAGGCGCAGTGTATCACACCTGTAATCCCAGCACTTTGGGAGGCTGAGGCAGGTGGATGACTTGAGGTCAGGAGTTCAAGACCAGCCTGGTCAACATGGTGAAACCCCGTCTCTTCAAAAATACAAAAAAAAAAAAATTAGATGGGCATAGTGGCACACGCCTGTAATCCCAGGACTTTGGGAGGCCGAGGTGGGTGGATCACCTGAGGTCAGAAGTTCAAGACCAGCTTGGTCAGCATGATGAAACCCCATCTCTACTAAAAATACAAAAATTAGCCAGGCATGGTGGCACACGCCCATAATCCCAGCTACTCGGGAGGCTGAGACAGGAGAATTGCATGAACCCATGAGGCAGAGGCTGCAGTGAGCCAAGATCAAACCATTGCACTCCAGCCTGGGTGACAGAATGAGACTTCATCTCAAAAAAAAAAAAGAAAGAAAGAAAGAAAGAATCACAAACAAACAAAACCCAAAAAACAGAGCTCAAATAGGATGAGGGTCTTCCCTGAGTAGTTACTCAGAAATGGAATAGAAAATGTTACCTATAATAATACAGGCTGGGTACAGTGGCCCACGCCTGTAATCTCAGCACTTTGGGAGGCCAAGATGGGAGGATGGCTTGAGCTGAGGAGTTCGAGATCAGCCTGGCAACATGGTGAAACCTCGTCACTACAAAAATACAAAAAATTAGCTGGGTGTGGTAGCGCGAACCTGTAGTCCTGGCTACTTGGGACGCTGAGGTGGGAGGATCACCCGAGCCAGAGAGGTGGAAGCTGCAATGAGCCGAGATCACACCACTGCACTCCAGGCTGGGCAATAAAGTGAGACCTTGTCTCAAAAGCAAAAATCCAACAATATAAATAAGAGCTATGTTTCTTCATCCAGCACAATAGAAACAGTGCCCAGAGCTTATAAGCTTTTCAAGAGTCCACAAAAGACCCGAGAAGGAAAAAGAAAATTGTTAGCTCCAAAATACCAGACGGAAGCTGCAAAGTCAACATTTATGACCATTTAATCCAATGTCCATAAAGCATAACATTCTTTCCACTACTCAACTGCAGTTTACTTTCTTGTAATCAAGCTTACATTGTTTCTTTAATGTGGGATGTGGCTTTGTTCTCATATGTACGCAATGATGGAGGGTGGAGTGCAGCCTTGGAAAGCAGGAGGGCTCGGCCTATGTCTTAAAATTCTCCTGCCCACCCCTTGGATTCTGTCTCCACTGGGACTCGGGAGGTGAGGGGAGACCATCTCTCCAAGTGCACCGAAGGGGAATTGGAGGAGGGAGGGAGTACCGGGTGATCATAACAGTGGAGGCACATTTGCTGAGCCCCCTGCAGTTTGCTCTTTCCAAATGGACCCTCCTGGAGGCCTGATCCCAACCTTCCCTGCAAGCAGGTCTGTCACCCCCATCTCTCAGATGAAGAAACTGAGCCTCGCAGGGGTGGAGTCCCTTGTCCCCACGTCATAAGGGTAGTCATAGTGGTAGGAAGAGGAAGCACCTAGGTTTGAGGCCAGGGCTGGCTGTTGTCAGAACCTAGGCCCTCCCCTGCCTTGCTCCACATCTGGTTAGGGGAGAGAGGGGAGGAAAGCCAAGGGAAGGCACCTAGCTGAAAACAAACAAGCTGGGCGAAGCAGGAATCCGCGCTCGGGTTCTGCAGATGCAGAGGTTGAGGTGGCTGCAGGACTGGAAGTCATCGGGCAGAGGTCTCGCAGCAGCCAGTAAGTGAACAGCTGGAGTCGGGCTGCCTGGGAGGCAGGGAGAAGCGGGCAGGGGAAGGGTCAGCAGAGAAGCAAGGCCCCGGAGGAGCCCTGAGGTGGAGCGCAGCCGAGGGCTCTGTTCCCTTTCCTGGACTCAGCTTCCACAGGCCCTGACCTGCCTCCCCCACCCTCCGGTCCTGCCCCACCTCTGTGACACCCCAGCACCCCCCTCCTTGCAAAGGAGAAGGGAGCGGCCTAGGGGAGGCCAGGGGCCCACCTGGGCTGGGGCTGTGGAAAGGGAGTGACTGGGACAGGAGGAAAAAGAGAGACGGAGGTTAGACGGAAGGAGAGGGATTTCGAGACAAATTGCCAGAGATGCAGTCAGAGAGACTGACTGAGGTAGAAAGATAGACTGAGACACAAAGATAGAAGGAATTAGAGAAAGCGCCACACAGAGCCAGATGGAGAGAGAAGACTGGAGATGGAGACGGGGATGAGGACAGGGAAAGGCAGACAGACACGTAGGGACAGAAAGAGAAAAATCACACAAAGTCAGAATTACTGAATGACAGAATGACACAGAGAGCAAGACACAGATTCAGAGACTCGGGAGGGAAAGGAAGGCTGCAGACAGACAGACAGAGGGAGGCTGAGACACAGGGAGAAGAGGCCTCTTGGAGCGGCAGGCAGCCAGTGCCTCGGAGGTCTACGGGGAGGGCCCCTCCACACCCTGCCCTGGGGCATTAAGGCAGGGCTTGGAGGCCAGTCATCCCGGGCCCGCCCGGGACCGTCCCCCCGCCTGCCCTCCTGCCTGGTGCCTGGCACCTGGCGCTCCAACCCAGCCTACCTGCTGTAGCCGCCGCTGCCGCCTCCGCCGCCACTGGGCCCCCAGAGCCCCAGCCCCAGAGCCCGTGAGTCCAGGAGGAAGGGGAAGCCATCCCTCCCCATCCACGTCCAGGTGTCAGCCCTCCCCAAGGACACCTGTCCCGGTCGGGCACCCATTTCTCCCTCTGCTCTGTCCTTCTCTGCTTGGGTGGGGGTTCGTGGCCTCTCTCTGCACCTCTCACCTCCAATGGCTGTCCCTAGCCTCAGCGACCTCTGATCTCCATGGCTTCAGCTGCTGAGCCGGCCCTCTGCTCCCACCCCCGCTGGCCAGGGCAGCTGAGGGCACTGGCCCTCCCCTTGACCAGCCCCGCCCAACTCTGCTTGGCTGTCCTTCAAAAGGGCAGGGGTTTGGCACGCAGGGGTTCAGCAAGCTGGGTGAGGGGGGGCCCAGACATTGTCTGGGGCTGAGTCCCCCACTCCCTGCCGGCAGACCTCAAAGGCTCCATGTCGCTCTGCTGTGAAGACAATGAAAAAGGGGTGGCTACAGAATGGGGTCTGGTTCCCCTTGTCCTTCCACTCCAAGCTGCTGGGGCCTGGCCAGCTCTCAAGGCAAGAAGGAAAACATCCTCTGACATGTGCCGAGGAGGTCCCAATGGCTGACTTGAACGGGGCTGGCCCATGACTTGCCGGTCAAAGCCCCTTCCAACAACTTCCACATGGTTCTTGGTATCTCGGAAGCTTCTAGCTGTGACCAGCCCCTCTCCAAGGCCACCCTCGACACCTAAGATATATTTTAAGTGTTTGGAGATCCGAGTGCTGTGAGAAACAGGGGATTTCCCCAACCTTGTTTCTCTCAAGTGGGGAGCAGGAGCAGGTGAGGGAGACAGGAGAGGGCATAAGCCAGCCCCCGACTTCCCTGTCAAGTGATGCGGCCCCATGTCCCTCCTTGTTCCCAGAGGAACCTGGGGCCTGCCCCTCCCCCCTCCAGGCCATGAGGATTCTGCAGTTAATCATGCTTGCTCTGGCGACAGGTACGGCAGGGGATGGCGGCAGGGCAGGAGCCTCCCTCTCGCGTCTCTGGGACCCCCTAACCCTCTGTGTCCGGACAGTGACAGGGCTGATTCCAAATTACAGAACAACCCATAAGGCATCTGACCAGGGCGCAGCCGTCATGAGGGCCTGGATGCCCTTCCAGATAATCCTTTTAAATGCCAAAGGAGGAGAGGTCAAGGGGGTCCTAAAGGGTCCCGGGAAGGGGCCAGGGAAGCTGGAATTGGGGGAGCGGTCACTCAAAGCGCACAGGACAGGGGCTACCAACCAACCAGTATGGAAGTATTTCCTTTTTTTTTTTTTTTTTTTTTTCCAGAGACAAGGTCTCACTCTATTGTCCAGTCTGGAGTGCCGTGGTGCCATCATGGCTCACTGCAGTCTCGACTTCCCGGGCTTAAGTGATCCTTAAGCCATCTCAGCCTCCCCAGTAGCTGGGACCACAGGCACCTGCCACCAAGCCAGGCTAATTGTTTGATTTTTTGTAGAGATGGAGGCAGTGGGGGGGTCTCACTATGTTTGCCTAGGTTGGTCTTGAACTCCTGGGCTCAAGCAATCCTCCCACCTTAGCCTCCCAAAGTGCTGGGATTACAGGCGTTTGCACCCGACCCTATGGAAGTATTTTCATCCTTTAATGCCTAGTACCAGCATCCAGCGCAACCCAGAGGGACATCAGACCAGGACCCAGACCACCCACCCTCTTTCTCTCCTCCCCACCCCCATTTCTGGGAGCCCTCCTGGTCTACCACCTCTCATTCCTGAGCCCCTCCTTTTGCTCTCACCCCCTCCAGGGCTCGTAGGGGGAGAGACCAGGATCATCAAGGGGTTCGAGTGCAAGCCTCACTCCCAGCCCTGGCAGGCAGCCCTGTTCGAGAAGACGCGGTTGCTCTGTGGGGCGACCCTCATTGCCCCCAGCTGGCTCCTGACAGCAGCCCACTGCCGCAAGCCGTGGGTGCGGGGGCTGGGGCGGGGCCGGGAGGGGGCTGGGAATGGGGAGATGGATGGAGAGAAGCTCAGGGGTAGGGATGAGGGAAAGGGGATTAGAAATGGGGACGGGTAGTGTCAGCAAGGTTGATGGGCTTGAGTTGGGATTGAAGGTGGGGGGATGAATGGGGTTGGGATGGGGCTATGGCTGGGAAGGGGGGCTTCGGTGGGAGACGTGGAAGAGGTTGGAAGCGGAGTGATGTTTCTTCACCCTCAAAGGTGTCACTCACCTCTCCCAACCATGTCTCCCCCGACCTTTCCTCCTCCAACTACCGTCTCTCCCACCGCAGCCGCTACATAGTTCACCTGGGGGAGCACAACCTCCAGAAGCAGGATGGCTGTGAGCAGACCCGGATAGCCACTGAGTCCTTCCCCCACCCCGGCTTCAACAACAGCCTCCCCAACAAAGACCACCGCAATGACATCATGCTGGTGAAGATGGCGTCGCCAGCCTTCATCACCTGGGCTGTGCGACCCCTCACCCTCTCCTCACGCTGCGTCACCGCTGGCACCAGCTGCCTCATTTCCGGCTGGGGCAGCACGTCCAGCCCCCAGTGTAGGAGCTCCAGAGGGGAACCCGGCAAGGGGTGGTGGGGAGGGTGTGGTCATGATTGTGGAAGGGTTCGGGGGATCAGAGATGCGGTTTGCAGTGACGACGGTGGTATAAGTTGAGAGGATGAGTGGAAAACATCAGGACAGGGGAGGGTGGGTACCGAAGTCGGGGCCTTGGAATCAGACAGACGGGATATGCAATCATACGTCCATAATCTCCTGGTTGCAGGACCTTAGGCAAGCGGCTTCACCTCTCTGAATCTCGATTTTCTTCTCTATAAAATGAGAATAATTATACCCACCTGTCAGGACTGGAGTAGAGATAATGTATATCAAGCAACTGGCATAAATCATTTATTGGATAGCAGGTTGGGCACAGTGGCTGACGCCTGTAATCCCAGCACTTTGGGAGGCCCAGGTGGGCAGATCACCTGAGGTCGGGACTTTGATACCAGCCTGGCCAATGTGGTGAAATCCTGTCTCTACTAAAAATACGAAAATTAGCTGGGTGTGGTGGTGCGCACCTGTAACCCCAGCTAGTCAGGAGGCTGAGGCAGGAGAATCGCTTAAACCCGGGAGACGGAGGTTGCAGTGAGCCAAGATCACGCCACTGCACTCCAGCCTGGGCGACAGAGCAAGACTCTGTCTCAAAAAAAAAAAAAAAAAAAAAAAAGTGCTGGATAGCACTGCTGTTGCTATTGTTACAAGAAGAGAGGTGAGTTGGCTGGGTCTAAGGACAGGGATTTACCCAGGGGCTGGGTCACAGCAAGCACTGCATTAGGGGCCGTGGCAGGGGGCTCATTCCCACAGCCCCTCCCACTGTTTCCACAGTACGCCTGCCTCACAGCTTGCGATGTGCCAACATCACCATCATTGAGCACCAGAAGTGTGAGAACGCCTACCCCGGCAACATCACAGACACCATGGTGTGCGCCAGCGTTCAGGAAGGGGGCAAGGACTCCTGCCAGGTCAGCGGGCAGGGCCTGGGTCTCCAACCACACCCCCATCCCATCCCCAGCTTCAATGACATCTTTACCGACATCCACAATTTAATCCCCAACCTCAACCCGCCTCCCCCTGCAACTCCCAATCCATCTCTTCCCCTGTTCCCATTTCTGATCTCAGCACAAACTTCAGCTCCATCCTCGTTTCCAGCTCCAACTTCCCCAAACTCGTTTTTGAGCCTAACCCCATCCTTTATCCCACCCATAATCCCAGCCTTATCGCCAAACCTATCACCATTCCCGGTGCCTCCCCATCCTCAGCCTCGGCCCCACTCCTAAGCAACGTCCCCACCTCCTCCCTAGCGAACACCGTGCTCAACGCTTTCTCTCACCGATGTTCTCTCTCCCTGTGCCCAGGGTGACTCCGGGGGCCCTCTGGTCTGTAACCACTCTCTTCAAGGCATTATTTCCTGGGGCCAGGATCCGTGTGCAATCACCCGAAAGCCTGGTGTCTACACGAAAGTCTGCAAATACGTGGACTGGATCCAGGAGACGATGAAGAACAATTAGACTGGACCCACACACCACAGCCCAATACCCTCCATTTCCACTTGGTGATTGGTTCCTGTTCACTCTGTTAATAAGAAACCCTAAGCCAAGACCCTCTACGAACATTCTTTGGGCCTCCTGGACTACAGGAGATACTGTCACTTAATAATCAACCTGGGGTTTGAAATCAGTGAGACCTGGATTCAAATTCTGCCTTGAACTATTGTGACTCTGGGAATGATAACATCTGGTTTGTTCTCTGTTGTATCCCCAACCCCAAAGACAGCTCCTGGCCATATATCAAGGTTTCAATAAACATTCGCTAAATGAGTGAATCTACTGAGTGCTTACTATGTGCTAGACCCTGATCCACTGGCTTTTATTTTATTTTATTTTATCTTAAGACAGAGTCTCACTCTGTCACCCAGGTTGGAGTACGGTGGCGCTGTCTCTGCTTACTGCAACCTCCGCCTCCTGGGTTCAAGCAATTCTCCTGCCTCAGCCTTCTGAGTAGCTGCGATTACAGGTGCCTACCACCACATCCGGCTAAGTTTTGTATTTTTAAGTAGAGATGGGGCTTTGCCATGTTGGCCAGGCTGGTCTCGAACTCCTGACCTCAGGTGATCTGCCCGCCTTGGCCTCCCAAACTCCTGGGATTACAGACTTGAGCCACTGTGTCCGCCCAGTTTTTATTAATTAAATTAAATTAATTAATCTATTTATGAGACAGTCTTGCTCTGTTGCCCAGGCTGGAGTGCAGTAACAATCACAGCTCGTGGCAATCTCAGTTTCCTGGGCTGAAGTGATTGTCCAGCCTCAGTCTCTGGAGTAGCTGGGACTACAGGCACATGCCATGACGTCCAGCTAATTTTTTTATTTTTCGTAGACAGAGGTCTCAGTATGCTGCCCTGGCTAGTCTCAAACTCCCGGGCTCAAGGAATCTGTCCTCCTCAGCCTCTGAAAGTGCTGGGATTACAGGCATGAGTCGCTGTGCCTGGCCTCCAAGCACTTTTAAATGTATCAACTAACTTAATCCTCACAAAACCCTATGAGATCGGTACTGTTTTCATACCTATTTTATAGATGAAGAAAGCAAGGTGATCTCTTTTCTTTTCTTTTCTTTTTTTTTTGAGATGGAGTCTCGCTCTGTGGTCGCTCAGGCTGGAGTGCAGTGGCGCCATCTCGACTTACTGCAAGCTCCGCCTCCTGGGTTCACACCATTCTCCTGCCTCAGCCTCCCGAATAGCCGGGACTATAGGCGCCCGCTACCACGCCCGGCTAAGTTTTTGTATTTTTAGTAGAGACGGGGTTTCACCGTGTTAGCCAGGATGGTCTCGATCTCCTGACCTCGTGATCCAGCAGCCTCAGCCTCCCAAAGTTCTGGGATTACAGGCGTGAGCCACCACGCCCGACCTGAGGTGATCTCTTAACTACCAAGTGATGTGCCTGGAGTAAGGCTCTGTTTGTTTCCTTTCCTGTATAACTGTGCATGCAAAAGTATAACACAGTAAGTAAAGAAGTCAGTCAGCTTGCACATACTAAGAACTAACCAAAGGAGTTTATCATTTTTTTTTCCAACTTCCATGATAGGTAATTAGGTAGTGGAGACCTCTGCTGGCCAATATGGTAGCCACTAACCGCACATGGCTCTTCCAATTAAAATTACATAAAGCCAGAAATGTAACTCCTCTGTCTCATTTGTGGTATCTCCAAGGCTGGATAGCCACACATGGCTGGTGGTGTCTGGATTAGCTAGTGCATATAAAACATCACTGCAGAAAGTTCAGCTGGGCAACACTGAGTTAGACAGCCTCTGAAGAGGATGTCCCACAGAGAGAATCCAGAACTCACGATCTTTTTTTTTTTCCTTTGAGACGCAGTCCTGCTGTGTCATGCAGTCTGGAGTGCAGTGGTGTGATCTCGGCTCACTACAACTTCTGCCTTCCAGGTTCAAGCGATTCTCTTGCCTCAGCCTCCCTAGTAGCTGGGACTGCAGGCCCGTGCCAACATCCCCAGCTAATTTTTGTGTATTTTCAGTAGAGATGGGGTTTCACTATGTTGGCCAGGCTGGTCTTGAACTCCTGACCTCATGATCGGCTCGCCTCGGCCTCCCAAAACACTGGGATTATAGGCGTGAGCCACCGTGCCTGGCCAACTCAGGATCTTTTGGGACGGTTGGCTCACCTCGCAGGAGAGGTGGCTGGCATGAGCAGTAGGAGCCCAGAGTGGAACCAGGGCCTTCTGGTTGTTAAGTGGACTTGCTGTGTGACCTCGTGTGAGTCTCTGACCTCTCTGAGCCTCTCACTCCTCACCTGAGATGAGAGTTGGCTGCGGTGATGCTGATGCCCCTCGCAGCTTTGACCTCCTGTGATTCAGGGGCCTGTGTGGTACCTGGTGGCACACAGATGGCAGGGAGGATGTGAGATGGCCACACACGGGTATGAGGCAAAGCCACAGCCCCCCAACACACACACGGGCTAGTCACTGGGACACACACAGAGCTCACGGCCACAGGGCGGGCGTGGGTTTCCCTCTTTCCTTGTTTCTGTTTTTCTTAGCCTGGGCGCCTCCCTCCCTCCCCCTCTCTCTCTCTCTGGCTCCTTTAGCCTTGGTTTGTTACAATCTCCCTTTCCAAGCCAGCCTCTGTCCCTCCTACTCAACCTGCTTTATCTCTGGGCCTTCCTCCTTCCTCTTCCACAGTCTGGCTTCTCACATTGTCACTCTAGGTATGCGCTTCCCCTTGATTTCCTCTTTTTCAGTGGCCTCTCATCCCGCCACCCCCAGCCTTCCTGGGGACATGAACCCTCTCCCCGCACCTGGGAAGCCTTCTTGGAACCCGGATCCGGGGAATCCCCACGGAAGCCAGTTCCAAAAGGGATGAAAAGGGGGTGTTTTGGGCACTGGGAGAAGCCTGTATTCCAGGGCCCCTCCCAGAGCAGGAATCTGGGACCCAGGAGTGCCAGCCTCACCCACGGTATAATTAGACAGAGGGAAAGGGAGGGAGGGAGCCCGGGGGTGGGGGTAGGGGAGGGCGGAGAAGCTTCCGGACTCCTCAGGGTTAAAAGGGAAGGTCCGGCCAGGGGTCCCTGGGCAGAGGATACCAGCGGCGGACCACAGGCAGGGCAGAGGCACGTCTGGGTCCCCTCCCTCCTTCCTATCGGCGACTCCCAGGTAAAGCTAGTTGCACCTCACCCGGGTTGGGGTGGATTGCGAGAGGATGGGTGGGGACCCCCGGGCCACAGGCAGCAGCCTGCTTGGAGCCTCGGTTTCTCCACCTGCGGGACGCGGAAGTCCCCCCGCTGTAAGGTTGAGAAAGAGGCTCCCACTGGCTCCGAGCCTCGGATCCCCACCCCTCGCGAGAAGGAGGGGGAAACCCCGGGCGCGGCGTGGCTGCAACCGGGGCGCGGAGAGTGCTCCCCTCCGGCACAGGGAGGACGGAGAGATGCTGCGAGGGGCGTCATTAGGGTAATTGCGCTCATTACCGCTGTTCCAGCCCGAATCTCCCATCTGTCTGCCCCTGGGGTTATCGGCTGCAGGTCAAAAGGGTGCTCGCGGGCTGGGGTGGCCCAGGCTGGGCGAATGAGCACGGTGAGGTGGGGGTCTCTAACGGAGCATCTATTTTAACCCGCCCCCCCCAACACACACACACCCTAGCAGATCCTGGCCATGAGACCCCCGCACCTCCACCTCTCCGCCGCCTCTGGCGCTCGGGCTCTGGCGAAGCTGCTGCCGCTGCTGATGGCGCAACTCTGGGGTGAGGCGGGGGACAGAGGGCCGCGAGAGGCGCGGGTGGGAGGCGCGGGCGGGAGGAGAGTGCGCTCCTGTCACCAAGCCCCGCGCGCCTCTCCTCCCCCGGGACCGCAGCACCCACCCAGGGCTCCGGAACAGGGCCCGCCCCCAAGTCAGCTGGGCCCTTCTGGCTTGGCCCCTGGCTGTCCCGCCCCACTCAGGCCCCGTCCGATTTCTGCCACCCGGATCCTCGCTCTTCCGTGGACTCTTCGCCGAGTTCTTTCTCCTCCTCTTACACCACCCCATCCCGGCCCCGCCCCATTTTGCACCACCGTGTTTTATCCTGAGTCTTGCCTTACCGCTTTTTTGCCCTCTCCCTTCATTTTTTCCTTCTTTTTCTTTTCTTTTCTTTTCTTTCTTTCTTTTCTTCTCTTTCGTTCGTTCTTCCTTTCCTTTTCTTTCTTCTTTCTTGTTTTACTTTCTCGTTTTTCTTTCTTTCTTCTTTCTTTCTTTCCCTCTCCTTTCTCTCTCTCTCTCTCTCTCTCTTTTTTTTTTTTTTTTTTGAGACAGGCATGCTCTGTTTCCACGGCTGCAGTACAGTGGCCCAACCAGAGTTCACCGCAGCCTCGACCTCCTGGGCTCAAGCATGCTCAGCCTCCCAAGTAGCTGGTACCACAGGCATGCACCACCACACCAGCTTTTTTTTTTTTTTTTTTTTGAGACAGGGTCTCACTCTGTCGCCCAGATTGGAGTGCAGTGGCCCAATCTCGGCTCATTGCAACCTCCACCTCCTGGGCTCAAGCGATTCTCCCACCTCAGCCTCCCAGGTAGCTGTGACTACAGGCGCATGCGTCCGCGACTGACGTGTGTGTGTGTGTGTGTGTGTGTGTGTGTGTGTGTGTGTGTAGAGACTGGGTCTCGCTGTGTTGCCTAGGCTGGTCTTGAACTTCCGGGCTCAAGCGATCCAACTGCCTCGACTTCCCAAAGTGCTGGTGTTACAGGCGTAAATCACTGCGCCCCGCCCCTCTCCCGGTTTTCAATCCCGTTTTGTTATTCCCACCCCTTCTCCTCCCCGCTCCCCGAATTCTATCCCCTCTCCCTTACCTCCCCGCCGCGTTCAATCCCCGCCCCTCTATCTAGAACCTGCGGCGCTCTAGCCAGCTCTCTAGGCACGCTGCGTCCATTCCCTGCCCTCCAGACCCACCCTATTCTATCTCATTACTCCACACTACCCTATCCCAGCTTCCTTCCACTTTCACGCACTTCTTCTCCTCCCATTCCCTTCGGTGCACGCGAAACCCCCCATATTTCCCTACCACCCTCCCATTCTGGCTGCGTCCCCCGTCCCCGAACGCAGTCCAGTCCCACAGCCCAGCTCCGACCCCAAACCCAGCCCCTGCCCTCCTTGCTCTGATCCCATCTCCTTTCTTTCTCCAGCCGCGGAGGCGGTGCTGCTTCCCCAAAACGACACGCGCTTGGACCCCGCAGCCTACGGCGCCCCGTGCGCGCGAGGCTCGCAGCCCTGGCAGGTCTCGCTCTTCAACGGCCTCTCGTTCCACTGCGCGGGTGTCCTGGTGGACCAGAGTTGGGTGCTGACGGCCGCGCACTGCGGGAACAAGTAGGAGGAGATCCATCCCCGAGGACGCCACGGGGGGGCTGTGGAGGTGGCCTCCAGGGAGGAGCGGGCAGGGCCGGGGCACTCGGAACTCCCACAGCTGGAGGTGCGGTCCCTGGTGTCCTTCCAGCAGGAGGAGAGACAGGGCTTGCGCTGTGGCCGCCAGGGGGCGGTGTGGTCCTTCTCCGCTTTTCTGGGCCCGTCACGCTTGTCCCGCTGATTCTCCTTGAGCTTTAGGAGGAGGTGGTTGCCCGCAAGAGACAGAAGCCAGGGTCCGGTGTGGTCAGGAATTTAGAACTAAAGGAAAAGGTTCACTTCGTGAGTCCCCACTGAAGGAGGAAGGGCTGGGTATGATCACAGAGAAAATGTGGAGTAGGTCCGGGCTCCGTGACCCACGCCTGTAATCCCAGCACTTTGGGAGGCCGAGGCGGGTGGATCACCTGAGGTTAGGAGTTCAAGACCAGCCTGGCCAACATGGTGAAACCACGTCTCAACGAAAAATACAGAAAACAAACAAACAAAAAATAGCTGGGCGTGTGGCGGGCGCCTGTAATCCCAGATACTCAGGAGGCTGAGGCAGGAGAATCGCTTGAACCTGAGAGGTGGAGGTTGCAGTGAGCCGAGATCAAGCCATTGCATTCTAGCCTGGGTGACAAGAGCAAAACTCTGTCTCAACAAATAAAAGAAAATGTGGAAGGCTTACCTAGGTGTCCAGGCCCCCAGCCCCCTCAATTCCTGCAGATCCTTGAAGCTCAAATACCTGATTTCTACTCCCTACGTCCACTGAGGTCCGATTCTCCCCCAAGACCCTCTTCCCTCAGACCCCTCCTATCTACGGGCCCCAGTATCTGCCCTCACCCCACTGCCCACGCCCGCTTTCCCAGTCCCTATGAAAGGTTTGCCTTCACATGCCTCTTCCTCCTCCCAGGCCACTGTGGGCTCGAGTCGGGGATGACCACCTGCTGCTTCTTCAGGGCGAGCAGCTCCGCCGGACCACTCGCTCTGTTGTCCATCCCAAGTACCACCAGGGCTCAGGCCCCATCCTGCCAAGGCGAACAGATGAGCACGACCTCATGTTGCTGAAGCTGGCCAGGCCCGTAGTGCCGGGGCCCGGCGTCCGGGCCCTGCAGCTTCCCTACCACTGTGCCCAACCTGGAGACCAGTGCCAGGTCGCTGGCTGGGGCACCACGGCCGCCCGGAGAGGCAAGAGCTGGGGCCCTGAGGCTGGAATCTCAGGAGGAGGGGGCTGGGGGCCTGAACCCCTGGATCTGAGGAAGGATGGGCTGGGGACTGGACTCCTGGGTCTGAGGGAGAGGGACTGGGGTCCTGGATGCCTGGGTCTGTGGGTCTGAAGGAAGGAGGGGCTGGGGACCTGGACTCCTGGGTCTAAGTGGGGAGGGGCTGGGGCCAGGATTCTTGAGTCTGAAGGAGGAGGAGCTGGGGCCTGGAATAGAAACAGTCTTGTATCTGGATTCCTGGCTCCCCAAGGATTGGGAGCTGGACCCAGTGATTACTGGCATATTCTCCCTTTAGTGAAGTACAACAAGGGCCTGACGTGCTCCAGCGTCACTATCCTGAGCCCTAAAGAGTGTGAGGTCTTCTACCCTGGCGTGGTCACCAACAATATGATATGTGCTGGACTGGACCGGGGCCAGGACCCCTGCCAGGTAGGGTCTGAACAAGGAGAGTCTCTGACTCCTGGGAGGGGAGGACAGGGAGGTTATGGGAAAAGAGCAGACCCTGTCCCCGCTCCCCAACTCCATTCCCAAACCCATCCTTGACCCCAACTCCTTCCCAGTCCTAACCCCCTCCTCATCCCTAACCTGGATCCCATTTCCATCCTAACCCCGCCCCATCCCCATTTCCAAGCCCGTCTCCATCCCCTCACCTTCCATGAACTACAATCCTAACCCCAGTCTCACTGTGTCTTCATTCCCGTCCCCCCGTCAACCCCCCATAACCTGAAGTCAACCTCCATTCTCACCCTCCAGCCTCATACCTAATTCCAACCCCATCCCAACCTCGTCTTTATCCCAACCCAACCCCTTCCTTCCCCACCTTCAAGTCCACAGGCTGTGCCTGAAGGAGTCAGGAAAGGCTTCTCAATGAGGGGACATTTGTGTAGGGGTTTAAAGGATAAGTAGGAGTTCACCAGTGATCCTTCTGGGATCGCTTTTGCCCCAGATCCCAAAGTGACAGTTCTCATGTTGGCACATTTATTTGATCTCTCCTTCCTGCCACCCCCAGAGTGACTCAGGAGGCCCCCTGGTCTGTGATGAGACCCTCCAAGGCATCCTCTCATGGGGTGTTTACCCCTGCGGCTCTGCCCAGCATCCAGCTGTCTACACCCAGATCTGCAAATATATGTCCTGGATCAATAAAGTCATACGCTCCAACTGATCCAGATGCCCAGAGGCTCCATCGTCCATCCTCTTCCTCCCCAGTCGGCTGAACTCTCCCCTTGTCTGCACTGCTCAAACCTCTGCCACCCTCCACACCTCTAAACATCTCTCCTCTCGTCTCATTCCCCCACCCATCCCCATTGTCTGACTGCACTGAAGCTGAAATGCAGAGATTCATTATTCCAGAGAAGCAAGGAAGCCAGTCATCGCCCAGTCTCTGACAGCAGTTGTTGGGGTCACCCAACCTGACTTCCTCTGCCACTCCCTGCTGTGTGACTTTGGGCAAGCCAAGTGCCCTCTCTGAACCTCGATTTCCTCATCTGCAAAATGGGAACAATGATGTGCCTACCTCTTAGCCATGTTGTGAGGAGACTATGATATAACATGTGTATGTAAATCTTCATGGTGATTGTCATGTAAGGCTTAACACAGTGGCTGGGGAGCTCTGACTAAAGGTTACCTGTTGTCATGATCTGACCACATCCCAGTGAGAGCATGTCCAGGGAAGAAGTGCACAGCGTAGCCCCCAATCCCAACCCTGCGCCCCCATCCCTTAGGGATGATGGAAGAATCATTTTCCCCACCCCAGTTCCAAGTCCCAGGAACCACCTTTTAACCACTTCCTTCTCATCTCCCACTGTTTCCCACTTCTGGTTCCACCCAACACCAGTTCCTCCTGTCTTGGTAGGAACTAGGCTGGCCGTGAGTCATAGAGCACCTTCTCTGCCTTCAGGGGGCCGTTGGAACTCAAGGGACCTCACCTTGCTTCCATCCTAGCCTCTAAGACCAGAGGACCGAGGGGTAGTGAAGATTGGGGAACTCTTGCCACCTCAACTGCCAAGTTTGTGCCAAGAAACTTCCCTCTGACATTTAGGGGAAAAATCTTTGGTTTGTCTGTTATGAATTGGCTGTGAGATTTTCGTCCTGAAAACTTGGGAGGAGGAATTTTTTGACTCTCCCTGAAATTGGGGGAGGAGAGGGGAGTTAATACACAGAGTCCAGGTGAAGCTAATAGAAGTTTGAGTGTGTACCGGGTGCAGTGGCTCACGCCTGTAATTCTAGCACTTTGGGAGGCCGAGGAAAGTGGATATCTGAGGTCAGGAGTTCAAGACCAGCCTGGCCAAAATAGCAAACTCTCATCTGTACAGAAAATATAAAAATTAGGCTGGCATATAATCCCATCTACTTGAGAGGCTGAGGCAGGAGAATCACTTGAACCCCGGGGGCGGAGGTTGCAAGGGGCCGAGATTGCACCATTGCACTTCAGCCTGGACGAAAGAGCAAAACTCCGTCTCAAAAAAAGAAGTTTGAGTGTCTCAGCTTATCCTGAACTTTGAAGCAGTAACATAAGCTAGCTGAATATAGGCACAGTAGAAATTTCCCATTAAGCACTGGTTTGTTTGTCCTTTCAGTCACCAATTTATGGAGCATCTAGTATGTGCCAGGCCCAGTGCTGGGTGCTGCGGACATACACAGGGGTGATCACAAGGTCCCTCCCGCTGCAAAACCCACAGGAGATTGACATACAAGGTCTGAGCACAGAGTCTGGTACATAGCTCCCTTCCGTGGCCTCTTTCCCATTCTGCCCCCATTAGCACACCCAGGAAATGTCAGTCAGTCATATCAGCTGGGTTTGTCATCCAAGGATCAGAAGCGAGGTCAGTGCAAATTTGAAAACTCGACTCATTTTTAAAGGCAACTCACCCATCCCTTTAGTCACTCCACGATGTTTATCGAGCCACGTCTTATGCCAGGCCTCAAAGATGAATCAGATCAGGCACTACCCTCAAGGAGTTGCTAGTTAGGTCAGGGAGAGAGGCCAGCCTTACATTCCTGTCATTCGGGTGTCCACTCAAAAGTCACCTCCTCCAGGAGGCCTTCCTGAATTGCCCAGGCTAGAGGAGTTCACTTTTGGTCACCCAGTCCTGATGCTCCGTTTATTTTTTTATAGCACCTATTATACCTGAAATTATCTCATTTATGTTTACTTGATAATGGTCTATGTCACCCTTCCCCACAAATTCTGTGAGGGCAGTGATTCAGATATTTGTTCACTGTGATTTTCTAAGCACCTGCATTGTGCCCGGCACACAGAAGTCACCCCCATTGCTGTGTGAACACAGCACAAATAGATCAGTGCTGTAACAGAAGGGGGTATGGGGTGCACCACATCAAGTCCACAGGCTGTGCCTGAAGGAGTCAGGAAAGGCTTCTCAATGAGGGGACATTTGTGTAGGGGTTTAAAGGATAAGTAGGAGTTCACCAGGTAGGGAAGGAAATGCATTTCAATCACTTTGCTGTATGACTTCGAGCAAATTACTTGAATGCACTGTCTTCCTCAGTTTTCACTCTGTGAAATGGAGACACCTGCTTAATTAGACTCTCGTGAGAGTTAAATGAGATAGGCCGGGCGCAGTGGCTCACACCTGTAGTCCCAGAACTTTAGGAGGCTGAGGCAGGTGGAGTGCTTGAGCTCATGAGTTTACGATCAGCCTGAGCAACATAGTGAAACCTCATGTCTACTAAAAAAAAAAAAAAAAAAAAAAAAAATTAGCCCTACATGGTGGTGCACACCTTGTAGTCCTAGCTACTCAGGAGGCTGAGGCAGGAGGATTACTTGAGTCCAGGAGATTGAGGCTGCAGTGAACTATGATCATGCCACTGCACTCCAGCCTTGGCAACAGAGACCCTGTATCAAAAATAATAATAATAATAAAAACTAAATGAGATAATATACATGCAAAGTTTACCTAACACCAGGCACTGATAACACAGTTGGTAAAGGTAGCTATTAAAATGTTCCTTGTTTTTTCCTTTCTTTCTTTTCTTTTCTTTTCTTTTTTTTTTTTTTTTTTTTTTTTTTTTTTTGAGAGTCTCGCTCTGTTGCCCAGGCTGGAGTGCAGTGGCACAATCTAGGCTCACTGCAATCTCCGCCTCCCGAGTTCAAGCAATTCTCCTGCCTCAGCCTCCCGAGTAGCTGGGATAACAGGCACCTGCCACCATACCTGGTTAATTTTTGTGTTTTTAATGGAGATAGGGTTTCACCATACTGGCCAGGCTGGTCTCGAACTCCCGACTTCAAGTGATCCACCTGCCTCGGCCCCACCAAAGTGCTGAGATTACAGGTGTGAGCCACTGCGCCCGGCATGAGCCACCGCACCTGGTCTAAAATGCTCTTAATAGCAATTAAGGTGGCACTTAGCACATAGTGGATACCCGATCCCTAATCTCAAGGGCTTCCCTGTCTGGCAAGGGAGTGGGACAACTGCAGGCAAGGGTGAAATGCGCTATGATAAAGGCACCGCAGGTTTCTGCAGCGGATGCATAGACATTGAAAGTTTACCATGTGTCAGACACCGTTGTGCTCCATGTGTGTAAATTTGCTTAATCCCCCCAACAACCCTTGTTATTACTGCTACTTAACAGATGGAGCAGGCCTGGCGCCGGTGGCTCACTCCTGTAATCCCAGCACTTTGGAAGGCTGAGGCGGGCGGATCACGAAGTCAAGAGTTCGAGACCAGCCTGGCCAACATGGTGAAACCCTATCTCTACTAAAAATACAGAAATTAGCTGGGCATCGTGGCACACGCCTGTAGTCCCAGCTGCTTGGGAGGTTGAGGCAGGAGAATTGCTTGAACCCAGGAGGCGGAGGTTGCAATGAGCCGAGATCATGCCACTGTACTCCAGCCTGGGTGACAGAGCAATACCCCATTTTGGAAAGCAAAAAACAAAAAAACAAAAACAAAACAAAACAAAAAAACCAGATGGAGCAACTGAAAGAGGTCTGGTGACTTGCCCAAAGTCACACACCTCATCACTAATCACACCTAATCATTGAGATTTGGATACATGTGGTTCAGTTCCAGAGTCTGTGCTCCAAACCATGACAACATAGTGAGAGAACATTCAAGGGGAGCCCAGACCCAGCTTCATAACCAGGCCTGTGGGCAGGAGAAAGTGGAAAGGATTGTAAGTGCCCAGGGGAGGCAAAGATGGACTCTGCCTGAGGAAACCAGAGATTTCCTGGAGGAGGGAGCATTGAGGTTGGGTGTTGAAGGGTGAGTAGGAGTTCACTAGGAAAAGAAGGATATGGAGAAAGACATTCACTCATTCAATGAACATCTCCTGAGGACTTCTGTAAGTCCTGTTCCACCTGGAACTGGGTGATGCTGGGACACAGAGATGACTCAGACCTGAGCCCAGCCCTCCAGAAGCTGTCCACCTGGTGAGAAGGAATGATGAGGAGAGAGGCAGGGAGGATGAGGTGATGGAAAGGACAATGGGGTGGGGGTCAGGGAGATGGATGAAAAAGATATATAGCAAATGTTCTCAGGATTTGGCAAAGATCAGGATGTACTAAGAGACAGCACAAGGCACTTGCTTCCTGGAGGATTGGGCAGCTAGGTCCTTGGGTGGTGGAGCTGTGGGGAAGGGGGCAGGTTATGACAAGAGTGGGTTAATCCAGATGGAACCAGATTTCTCAACATTCTAGGAGAGGGCCTTGTCCTTGTGGGAAGAGGCCCAAATCCCCAGGGCAGGGAAGGTTCTGCGAGGTATGTAAACCTGTGCAGCTGCCTGTGGTCTCTGCCTCTCTCCACCTGTGTTTCCCTCAATCTTTCTTGTGTTCTCTCTCCTCCTCCCGCTCCTCCTCTCACCTGGGGTCCTTCTGTGCCTGTACCTCCCTCTCTTTGTATCTTCCGCTCTTGTGTCTGAGTCCTGACTCTGTCTCCCACCCCTAGCCTGCTTTCTGGTGGTCCTCCTGCACATCCCTCCAGCCTGTTCTGGGAGGTTAGTCTCTGCACACCACTGCTTTGTCCAAAATAAACCTGCTGCACCCCAGGGCCTTAGGCCTCAAGGATCTTCCTACTTTTCCAGGACACAAAAGATTCTGTATCTTGTAGCCCGAGGTGATGAGGAATGAGGGTTCCTACTCTGAAGACCCCAGAGGAGGTGCCCACAACCTCTCCACACCCCCAGCACTCCTCCTCCATTCAGTCAAGCTCTGGCCCAGCAAGCCGCCAGATCATCCCAAAAGGGGGTCCCCCTGCACTTACCTCCTCTCCCAAGGCCCCTGTCACAGCCCCAGGGCTTCCCCCTCCCCCAGGGACATTTCCCAATCCCAATTAATCACAGGGGCGGCCCCATGAAGGAGGAAGGAGATGGCATGGCTTACCATAAAGCAGCACTGGGCGCCGGGTGCACGTTCCAGGATCCAGGTGCCCAGGGGTCATGAAGCTGGGACTCCTCTGTGCTCTGCTCTCTCTGCTGGCAGGTGAGGCTCCGGGCTGGCTGCCCCTTCACGGCTGTACTAAGGTCATCTTGCTCTTCCCTCCCGTCCCAGGCTTCTGCCTCCTGCCCCCTAGGCTTCTCAGCATCCTCTCCCTGCCCTCCCAGACTGCTCCTCGCTGACCCCTTTGTCCGTCATCCCCACCCCAGGGCATGGCTGGGCAGACACCCGCGCCATCGGGGCCGAGGAATGTCGCCCCAACTCCCAGCCTTGGCAGGCTGGCCTCTTCCACCTCACCCGGCTCTTCTGTGGGGCGACCCTCATCAGTGACCACTGGCTGCTCACAGCTGCCCACTGCCGCAAGCCGTGAGTGACCCGGGCTGGCCACGCTGGGGAGGGGCGGGGGCTGGGGGTCAGGAGAGAGTGAGGGGTGCTATAGGCCGGAAGTGTAGAGCCTCCACTTCTGATACCAAAGGTTCAACTCTTAGAATTAGGAAGGGTAGCCTCCCAAATCTTAAAATTCTAGAGTCCGACAACATCTCGTTTGAGGAGTGTAAGATTCGAAACTTAGGTTCTTCGAATCCTAGACTGATCCAGAGAAATCCAGAATCGTAGAATCCTAAAATCTTGAATTTATGAAATTCTGCAATAGCTTCTTCAAATTCTAGAATCACAGATTCGCAGACTATTAGAATCTTAGCAGTCTGGGTCAGCACTGCCCCGAGGGATTGTGATGCCAGTCACATGTGTAAGTTTAAATTTCTGGTGGACACATTTAAAAAATAAGGAATGAGTAAAATTAATTCGAATAGATTTAACTTGACACACTCAAAAACTTATTTTGACATGTAATCAATGTTTAAATAAGTATGAATGGTACAGTTTACTTTTGTTTTGGTACTAAGCCTTTGAAATCTGTTCTGTATTTTACACATATAGCCTGTTACAAAACGGACTAGCCACATTTCAAGTGTTCAATAGCCATAATGGCTAGTGTGATCCTACAATCTTAAATTTAGAGCTTTCTAGATTCACTGAATATTGAAACTCACAGTACTAGAATCTTTGACACACAGTATCCTAGAATATTGAGTTTCAGAGAATTCTGGAGTCTTAAACTATTTGAATCCCAGACTCTTAAATTTCTAAGGTTATAGGTTTACAGAATTATGAAATTCTAGTCATCTTTTTTTGAGACGGAGTCTTCCTCTGTTGCCCAGGCTGCAATGCAGTGGCACGATCTCAGCTCACTGCAACCTCTGCCTCCTGGGTTCAAGCAATTCTCCTGCCTCAGCCTCCTGAGTAGCTGGGATTACAGGCGTGTGCCACCACGCTAGGCTAATTTTTTTTTTTTTTTTTTTAAATTTTTAGTAGAGACAGGGGTTTCACCATATTGGCCAGGCTGGTCTCGAACTCCTGACCTTGTGATCTGCCCGCCTTGGCCTCCCAAAGTGCTGGGATTACAGGCATGAGCCACTGCACCTGGCCAAAATTCTAGTCTTTTTGTCCCAGAATATTAAAATTATAGGTTCAAGTCTTAGATTTAATTCAGATAACGTTAGAATCCTGGAGTTTTTTGATCCAGGGGAATCTGGAATATTAGGATCTTGGATTCATAAAACTCTAAACCTTGAGCCTCAAGATTGTAGAATCATGGATAATAGGGTGTCAGAATCTGAGAATTCGAGAATCTTAGATTCTGGGCATTCTAATAGAATCCTGGAAGCTACCTGATGCAGGAACCCTCTCTCCATTGCCTCTGAAAAGTGACCATCCATACTGTTCCCATTTTCTTCCCTCCAGGAATAAAGCACTGATGCTGGTAAGAGATGCTGTGTGGGAATTTCCCATCACGCATTGCTCCATGATGGGCCCTCTTTTAACTTAGGCCTGTACATCAGGCTGGGACAACAATGTTCAGTTTCAGCCGAAAGTCAAACAGGAGAAATGCAGAGATATGAAGGTGGAAGAGAGTCAGAGGCAGGGGAAGGGTAGGGGGATGAGGGGATATAGAGTTGAGGACTATTTTCCCAGATCCAGAGCCAAGACAGCAAGAATGACAGAGAGACAGAGACAGATGTCTCTGGTTCCCCAACCATGAATATGCAGTCATTAGCCTGCTGCCTAATGTCAGAGGTTAGAGGCTGGGGAATAGACTTGTCGACCCCAAAAGGATCCCAGCTGTCTAGGGCATGGCCAGAACGGGAAAAAGTGGGCTGGAACTGTGGTAAGGGCTTAAGGTTAGACACCAGGAAGACATGCATTGAAGGGTGAAGGATATGATAGACAGGAAAAGCTAAGGCCAGAGATGACCCCCAAGTCGGGGATTTTCCATATGCCATCCCCTTTCACACATATGCACACATATACACACACACCACTCAGACATACAGAGCCACTCCCACAGAAGCCACCAGACCTGTGGGGGCAGGGGTGGGGCTGTTGTTATGTGGTAGGTGGGGCCCCCCGTGCCCACACCGTTCCTGGGGACCCAAGTCACCACCAAGGCTCCAGGTGAGTAGGGAGGAAGGTGGCTCACTCAGCCTGGGACTAGGAGGGGGTGCTGTGTGGGGACAGCTACAAAGGTGGGGGCACACAAAACATCAGCGTGAGGACCAGGGACACAGAAGAGGTGTGTGCCTTGCTTAAAATAACAGTACCCTGGGCTAGACATAGATGATGAGGGCCCAGAGAGGGTGTGTGGCTTCTGTAGGGTCACATAGCACCCTGATGGACAGGAAAAGAGGGCTGGGACTGAAAGGACCTTTACCTTCACCCGGCTTGACCTCTGAGGCCTGTCCCAGCAGGTATCTGTGGGTCCGCCTTGGAGAGCACCACCTCTGGAAATGGGAGGGTCCAGAGCAGCTGTTCCGGGTCACAGACTTCTTCCCCCACCCTGGCTTCAACAAGGACCTTAGTGCCAATGACCACAATGATGACATCATGCTGATCCGCCTGCCCAGGAAGGCACGTCTGAGTCCTGCTGTGCAGCCCCTCAACCTCAGCCAGACCTGTGTCTCCCCAGGCACGCAATGTCTCATATCAGGCTGGGGGGCCGTGTCCAGCCCCAAGGGTATGACCTGGCCCAGACCTCTCTCTGAAATCTTTTGCCCAGGATCTGGCTCCCTCACCTCTCTGTCTCTGCCTTTTCATCTCTATCTTCTTCCTTTCTCTCTCCTCTCTCTCTCTGTCAGTCTATCTATCTGCCAATCGATATATTTAATCAAATCTAAGGTGCTATGATTTTTTTTTTTTTTTCTTGAGACGGAGTCTCACTCTATCGCCCAGACTGGAGTGCAGTGGTGCAATCTCAACTCACTGCAAGCTCTGCCTCCCGGGTTCACGCCATTCTCCTGCCTCAGCCTCCTGAGTAGCTGGGATTACAAGCGCCCACCACCACGCCCACTAATTTTTTGTATCTTTAGTAGAGACGGAGTTTCACCGTGTTAGCCAGGATGGTCTCGATCTCCTGACCTCATGATCCACCTGCCTCTGCCTCCGAAAGTGCTGGGATTACAGGCATGAGCCACCGCGCCTCGCCGATGCTAGAATTTTTAAGATGTGCCATTATTTTATGAACTCGAAGAAGGAGAAAGGGGAGAAGGAGGAGGAGGAGAAGAGGAGGAGGAGAAGGAGGAGGAGGAGGAGGAGGAGGAAAGATCCCATTGATTATATAACATCATTTTCTGGAAAACACATTCTAATTTCAGAGTTTTTGTTTGTTCGCTTGTTTGTTTTTGAGACAGGGTCTCGCTTTGTTGCTCAGGCTAGAGTGCAGTGGTGTGATCACGGCTCACTGCAGCTTTGAACTCCTGGGCTCAAGCGATCCTCTCTCTTCAACCTCCCAAGTAGCTGGGATTACAGACATATGCCACCACATCCCACACCCGGGTCATTTTTTTATTTTTAGCAAAGATGAGGTCTTGCTATGTTGTCCAGGCTGGTCTCAAACTCCTGGCCTCCCAAAGTGCTGGGATTACAGGTGTGAGCCACTGTGCCTGGCCCAGAGATGTTTAAACATGAAAATACATTCATCTTAGAATGGGAGTAAGGCCATGTCTCTCAGAGTCACGGATCACTGACCCGTTAGCCAAACTGGGTCAGTGGATTGCAAGAACAGTCTGAATTTGTTGCTGCCAATATCTAAAACTTGGAAGGTTTTATACAAAAGCCAGTTTCTGGATTCACTTGAAAAAGTTTGAAGAACTCACATTTCCAAAATAGCAAGCACTGGGCTGAGTCAATGGAGGCTGCCCCCTTTCAGCCAAGACAAGTTCTCTGATCCACTCCAATGGACCCCAATGGCTCCTGTCTCCCTGCACAGCCGCCATCCCCAACTTCCGTTGACCAATTCTGTTTTTCATGTCCCTTGATGCATCTGAGTCTGCACTCATGTCTTATACAGATGCACATATGTATTATATACCCATATCCACATCTATACTGACCACACTGTATCTGGTATTTCTATGTCTCTGTCTCCATCAGTGCCCATCTTCCTGTGAATCTCTTTCCCTTTATCTCACTGCCTTCCTTCCACCCCTTGAGGTCTCTGGGTCTTGCTCTATTTCTTCCTTTTTTTTTTTTTTTTTTTTTTAACAGATGGAGTCTCACTCTTGTTGCCCAGGCTGGAGTGCAGTGGTGTGATCTCAGCTCACTGCAACCTCCACCTCCTGGGTTTTAAGCAATCCTCCTACCTCAGCCTCCAGGGTAGCTGGGACTACAGGTGCACAACAGCACGCCCAGCTAATTTTTTGTATTTTTAGTAGAGATGGGGTTTCACCATGTTGGCCAGGATGGTCTCAATCACTTGACCTTGTGATCTGCCCGCCTCAGCCTCCCAAAGTGCTGGGGAGTTATATATGCATCTCCTCTTGTCTCTTGGCTCTCTGCATGCATCTTTCTGTTTCTCTTCCTTTCTTCTTCTTTTTCTTTTTTTTTTCTTTTCTTTCTTTTTTTTTTTTTTGAGATGGAGCCTGGCTCTGTCTCCCAGGCTGGAGTGCAGTGACCAGTCTCGGCTCACTGCAACCTCCACCTCCCAGGTTCAAGTGATTCTCGTGCCTCAGCCTCCCGAGTAGCTGGGATTACAGGCGCCTGCCATCATGCCAGGCTAATTTTTGTATATTCAGTAGAGACAGGGTTTCACTATGTTGGCTGGGCTGGTCCCAAATTCCTGACCTCAAGCGATCCGCTGGCCTCGGCCTCCAAAATGTTGGGATTACAAGTGTGAACCACTGTGCCCGGCCAGCCTCTCTCTCTTCTTGGCCCTCTTCCTCCTTGTGTCCATTTGTTTCTCTTGCATGCTATGACTGTCTCTTTGTCACCGTCTGTTGTCTCTATCTTTGAGAGTCCTAAATGTGGCTCCATGGGTCCTTTGGAGAAGCTGCAGGGAGGACTCAGGGCGGTGGGGTGCAGTGTGTTGGAGACAGTTGCGGATCCTTGACAGTTCTCTTCCCTGACAGCGCTGTTTCCAGTCACACTGCAGTGTGCCAACATCAGCATCCTGGAGAACAAACTCTGTCACTGGGCATACCCCGGCCACATCTCGGACAGCATGCTCTGTGCGGGCCTGTGGGAGGGGGGCCGAGGCTCCTGCCAGGTGAGACCTTATTCTGGGGAAAATGAGGCTGTCCTGCCAAGCTTTCTAGGATTTAGGGGAGCAGAGGGGTCGGCCCCCAGCCTTCCTGGGTCAAAATGAGAAGGAGACTGGGATACCTGGTTCCTGGGAGAGGACGGGACCAGGGCCTGGACTCCTTAGTGTAAAAGAGAAGAGGTCTGGAGCTCCAGACTTCTGGATCTGCAGGAGGAGTGGGCTGGGCGTCCAGAGTCCGAGTCCTGGGGGAGGAGGTGGTTAGCTCCTGCGGGCAGGTGGGGGCTCTGAGCTTTTACTCCTGGGTCTGAGGGAGGAGAGGCTGGAGATGGGGGACTCTCAGATGTTGGAGGAAGAAGGGGCTGGGGCCTTTCTGGGAAGGAGGAAGTGGCCTGTGTAATTGTCATGAGCAGAGTGGCCTAACAGTTCCTCTGCCCTTCTCTCGCGTACAGGGTGACTCTGGGGGCCCCCTGGTTTGCAATGGAACCTTGGCAGGTGTGGTGTCTGGGGGTGCTGAGCCCTGCTCCAGACCCCGGCGTCCAGCAGTCTACACCAGCGTATGCCACTACCTTGACTGGATCCAAGAAATCATGGAGAACTGAGCCTGCGAGCCACAGGGGCACCTTGGAAAACCAAGAGAGGCCGAAGGGCACGGGATCGGGGGTTCCCGCAGGGTGCCAGCCTCAATGGTTCCCGCTCTTGACTGCCGGCTGCCCTGAGACTCCCCTCTGGTCACTGAGACTCCGCCCCTGAGGCTCCGCCCCCTCACGAGGTCAAGCAAGACACAGTCGCGCCCCCTCGGAACGGAGCAGGGACACGCCCTTCAGAGCCCGTCTCTATGACGTCACCGACAGCCATCACCACCGTCTTGGAACAGCACAGCCTGTGGCTCCGCCCCAAGGAACCACTTACACAGAATAGCTCCGCCCTTCGGAACTTTGCCCAATGGGACTTCCCCTCGGGACTCCACCCCTTGTGGCTCCGCCTCCTTCACCAGAGATCACTCCTTCGTGATGTCAGGGGCGCAGTAGCTCCGCCCACGTGGAGCTCGGGCAGCGTCGAGTTCAGCCCCTTGTGGCTCCGTCCTGGGCGTGTCCTGGGTTTGAATCCTGGCGGGGACTTGGGGGGAAATTGAGGGAGGGTCTGGATACAGCCAATGGATGATTTTACAGTAAACGCGGGAAACCGCACCTTCTTTCTGCATGAGCTGTGAGACGAGTGGAGGGCAAACGGGTGGGCGATGAAGGGCAGATGAGGGCACCGGTACCGCCTTGCAACTCCCCCTTAAACCCCTAGTAAGTCCTGCCTAAAGTCTCTCTCCATCAGCCCTATTGCAGCAAGACTCCTGGGTTCTGCTTGGGTTGGTCTTGCCGCCTCCAGGGGAAGGGGAAACCAGGTCACAGTGCCTCCCAAACCTGCCCTCCCAGATCCCGGACCTCTCAGGGGGCAGCAGGCGGGGCCTGATCCACCCTCTGGTTTCTGACCCAGGAAGACCTGCCTTTCTTCGGTTCCGGGTTACTGGCAGCAGCCCCTCCTCCCACAAAAGATCAGGCTCCAAGCTGCTCCTTTTAAAAGTACTTAGAATTTAGCCCCCAGCTCCCTCCTCCCTCACACCCAGGAATCCAGGCCCCCAGCCCCTCCTCCCTCAGACCCAGGAGTCCTGGCCCCTATCAGGCCCCTCCTCCCTCAGACCCAGGAGTCTCTGCTTTCTCAGCCTCTCCTCCAGACCCGGGAGTGCCCAGCTTTCTCAAACCTCCTCCACTCAGACCCAGGAGTCTCGGCCCTGCTTGGCCCTCACTCCACTCCAGACCGGAGTGGGCTCAGCCCTCTCAAAACCAGACCTAACCCAGGTCAACCCTCCCTCTCAGATTTGGGAGTCCCAGGTGCAACTCTCTCCCTCAAGCCAGAATCCAAGTGCCCACTCCTCCCTCTCAGAATAGATTCTTGGCCCCAAGCCCTTTCGTTTCAGATCCTGAGTCTCCTTTTGGTCAGCCTCCTGGCCTCAGAGAGTCAGATTCCAGCCCCCTCTCCCTCAAGATTTCCCATTGTGGCCCTCTGCTTCCCCTTCTCACTCCACCCCCAGTGACCAGTTCCAGAAGCTCCCAGGCTCTGGTGTGCAGGAGGAGGAGGAGCAGAGGCGGAGATTCCCGGTTAAAGTCTGCAAATCAGGCTAGAAGCCTCCCGGGGTCGTGTACCGGGCAGTGAGAACTGAAGTACCGGGGCCTCCCTCCATAGGTCAGGCTGATGCAGTGGCCCGGCCTGGATTCTGGAAGGTGAGGTGCAGTACCAGACACGGACATCAGGCCAGGCCCCTTATTCTCCAGATTCAGGACCCGACCTCAGATGCCCGCCTCTCTCCAGACCCAGCAGTCTGGACAGCTTCTCCATCTCTCTCTCCCAAGTACAGGAATCCCGGCTCCCATGCTTTTCCCTCAAAGACCCCAGACATCCAGGACTCCCTCCTCCCTTAGATGTTGGGAATCAGTCCCCAACCTCCTTCCTCCAGAGAGACCCAGAACAACCAGATATTCTAGAAAACCAGCCCACCGTCCCAAATCCAGAGACTGGGGTTTCAGCAGGCTCCTCCTTCCTGTCTACACAGCCCACTTCTCTCCTTCCCTGAAGCCTCTGTGGATGCCCCCGACCTCAAATGCAGCCAAGACGTGGGTGTTCTGCTCTTGCTGGGAAGCCTGGGCAGGTGAGGGAGGGTTCACGAGAAACCTCAGAAAAGCAAAACTCGCTAGCTGTAGAGGCTGAAGTCTGTCAGAAAGATTATAGTCAGTTGTGTGGGTGGTGTGCAGATGCCAGAGAGTATTGTGATGCAGGGCTTCTGTGGGCTTTCCTCAGGGTAGACAGAGGCAAGAGAGCAGGTGGCAGCAGGTAGGAGGAGGTTTGGTGATGCTGTAAATTGTCCCGGAATACCTACAGCCTGTGAGGCTGCTTGCTTGAGGCATAGATTCACCGCTAATGGGAGTACAGGGCATGTAGACTCAAGTGGAAACATGTGGGGTCATTCTGTAATTGTGTAGCTCTTGTATGATGACACGGACTGGGAAATAGGAGTGTGCCTGTGTGTGCGTGCTTGGATGCCTGGACCTCCTCACACCCCTCTAGCTGTATGTCGGAGAACTTGCTGTGTGTGTGTCCATTCCCAGACCCCTGAGTGGCTTCCCAGCCCTGGCACTGCCCCAGAGGTGGCGATCAGCCTCTCCACTCCTGCTGCCCAGGGCCTCCAGGAGCACAGGAGAACAAGGTGCTGGGGTCAAATTTTGACATTAGCAGCCTTGGCAGAGCAGCCTTGTTCCAGGGCAAGCAACTACTCTGTGGCGGGTGTCATCATAGGTGGCAGCTGGATCCTTTGGCTGCCCACTGTAAAAACCGTGAGTGGATGGCGGGTCCTGAAATTGGCTGGGAGCTAAAGAAGGAAGGGCTGGGTTTCGACTCAGGAAGAAGAAAGCTGAGGACTGGACTCTGGCTCTGAAGGAGGGGAGGACTGGAGTTTCAATACCACTGCCTGGGTCCCCAAGCTTCTTCCCTGCATTAGGAAATATACGGTACGCCTGGGAACCTGACCTACAGAATGAGACGGCCCAGGCAAAGAAATACGCAATGGCTCAGTCCATCCACCTGCTCGCAACAGCGGCGATGCGGAGTTACAACCATGACCTGATGCTTCTTCAGCTGCGTGAGTAGGCATCCCTGGGGCCAAAGTAGAAGCCCATCAGCCTGGCAGATGTTGCCCAGCCTGGCAGATGTGCATCATCTCCCATTGAGCACTATCACCAGTCCCGAGGTGATGAAGCTTGTCCGCTATTGGGAGGAGAGGAGGATCTGGTTGGCTCAGGTGGACCCCCAAGCTATTAAACGGGTCCCCAGAGGGGAGACAAGGAAGGAAAGTGATCTATTGATCTTAAGGATTCACAAGCGGGAGTCATGAAGCCTCGAGCCAGACTGCTAGCAAGGTGGTGAGGAGAAGACCAACTAACAGATTGCTAAGCAGGCCAGAAAAGCTCTTTATGGCGGAGCTGTCTATGAGAACTTTGGTTGTAAGTTTTTATATAGTCTTAACACACTTCGGATGTTTGGACTTCTCAGAGGCCCAGGAAAGAGGCTCCTGTATGCCCGACCCTCCTCCTTTTTTGCAGAGACAGTTTCACTCAGTGCCCAGGCTGGAGTGCAGTGGCATGATCTCCCAGCTCACTGCAATCTCCCGCCTCCAGTTCCTCAGTCCAGCCTCCCGCCTCCCAATGCTAAGTTACAAGCTGCCCCGCCCAACTGGCTGCACTGCTATTTGCTATAGAGATAGGAGTTTCTTCTGTTGGCCAGGTTAGTCAAACTCCTGACCTCAAATGAATCAAATCTGCCTCGGCCTACCAAAGTGCTGGGATTACAAGCACATGAGCCACTGCCCCCAGCCTTTTTCTCCTTCTTGAACCCAGAGCCTGAGCAGGCCCTAGTCCCTCTTCCCTCAGAACAGGATTCAGCCCTTCTTCTCCCAGATCCAGCAGTCCTAGCTCCCTCTTTGACTCTGGACCCATCTGGACCTCAATGAAGCTGTCCCTTGAGACTCAGAATCCCAGACAGCCCCTCATCTTCTTCTGAGTAGCTGTTGAGACTCCGCTCTCAGAGAGTCAAGAGCTTCTCAGAAGTAGCAAAATTGGCATTGGTCCACACCTCCTGCTCTAGATACTTCGATCGAGACAGTTGCTGCTGTAGAAACACATGCTCGCAAATCCATTAGATCAAATTAAACCTGCTCTGCCCCTTCTCCCTAGGCTTAAATTCCTTTCCCAAATCTCCCAAGCCTCAGGAAGCGGGTGGGAGTGGGATTAGCTGACCCCGGCCAGGGTTTTGGCTGCGTGGTTGGTTTGTCAGTTTTCTTCAAACATGTTGGTTCAGGATAATTTGCCCCCTTTCTTCCATGGTGAATTGCTCGTAAATGTTGTGGAATGGATGGCTGGATCAAATATTAAATGAATGAATGCATCCTCCTTCAGCGCTGTTAGGAGGATTAAATGAGATTGTAAGGCATAGCCATTTGGCACATAGGATGCCAGATGGAAGGTTTCCCACTCCCAGAGGCTTTGAAAAGTCTATTCCTCAAAAGGGATTAATAAAGCATCGAATTCCACTTTAGTGTTAATTCATCTTGTTTGTGAGCACCTATTCGCCAGGTGCTGTTTGCAAGCTACTGGCTATATGTGCATAAACAAACTGTACAAGATTCTGTCATTGTAGATTTGCAAGCTAGATAGGAGAAACAGACAATAAACAAATACATAAAATATTAGAGTAGAGTTAAGTGCTGTAAAAAGGAAATATTGTGGAGAGCGTAAAGATAGGGGAAGTAATGCAGGGATGGTACTAGTTTGAGTGATCAGGGAAGGCTTCCGGGAGGAGAGTGACATTTGGAAGGAGGCAGAAATTTAGCACGGATGGAGGGCTGGCTACATCTGTGTCAGGAAGACTGGATGATACTCAGGTATCATCAAGGGGTACCCTCAAGTAACCCCACACATGTGGTTGAAATTGTCAGGGCAGAGAGAAAAAAAAGAGCACTTGAGATCCAAGGCTCCTCTCTGAATGGAAAGCCCAATGGCAAGTGAAGTACAAGCACGGCTCATGTGGTGAGAGTAGGGTCCCTGTGCAAGTGTCAGAAAATTCCCCAGGCAGCTGGAAAGCTCCCCATTGTCCTGGAAAGAAAGGGGAGTTCGAGTCAGACAGGGATGAGGCAAGCGGCTGCTCTCTCAGAATCACACAACCTCTTCCCCCTCAGAGAATTTTCCTGACACTCTCTTAACTGTGCAGAAGTAAAATCTTTCCCCAGAAAGAAGTGTGAGGATGCCTGCAGGGCAGATCACAGACGGCATAGTCTGTGCAGGCGGCAACCAAGGCTGACACGTGCCAGGTGGCGATTTCTGAGATCCTCCTCTCCACTCATCCCTCACTTTGGCCCTCTAGAGGAGTTTCCAAGAAGGCTTGGATGGGGGTGGGGGTAGTAGGGGAGTGACCCCAAGACTTGGCACACCCGGGTGGGTTGCCCTGTCTCACGGAGTGAGGCCAGGTTCAGAGAAGGCCAAACTTTCTCCCAGAAAGTCACACATATAGGGGTTAGGGGTTAATTGCTACTGTTTTCTTTCGAACCCTTACCTACGGGACAGAGGTGCAGGCTGGGGGGCTATAGAGGTGG